TGATTTGATGTTTGGAAGTCATTTTGTGAAGGAAAAAAATAAACTTATTCACTATCAAAGTTTTATCTTTTTTAAAACTGATTATATCGGTCCCAAGCCTGGATGTAAAAAATTGAAAGAAAATTAACAAAAAATTAATTTAGGCCCCCCCTAAATATATTTTTTGGCTCCGCCACTGTCCGTCAACAAAAGTATTGCTGCTCCACATACACAGAACCAAGCCTGAAAAATGCATGAAACGACATGTCCCTGGATTAATGATTTTGGAAATGAAGGGTAGTTTTGAACAAGCTATATGATCATAAGCTTAGAAACCAAAGTTAGAACATCCTCCAGCCACAGAGAACCGAGGCATGGACAAAAAAATAATTGGATATTAAACCTACAAAATGAGAAAAAGAAATATTCTGCTTACAGAAAGTAGCTTCTCTTTTTGAATCTCTATCAACTTCTCAGCATTTTGCTTATTTTTCACAATTGTCTTGGCTAGCTCTTTCTCTTTTTAACTTCGCTTCTTTCTCAGCCCTTTATTAAGGAAAGAAAATTTCTTCAGTAGAAATAAAGCATAATGAGAAAACAAATTGCTATATGACGATCACCTGAAGAATTAGCTCCATGCATCTCAGTAGAGCTCCTTTGCATAAATTTTTTTGGCGAATGAACGGATTTCTGTAACATTCAATGGTCTCCCAAGACTCAGATCAGGGACATGAACTGAAGGCTTCATAAATGTTGTCAAAGAATAGTGTCAACATAAGTAGAAAATGGTTGTTTAGCAATAACAAGCCTTGAAAATGAACAAGCTCTTTACTTTTTAAACTACAAATGTACGAACTTCAAATGGTAGCAAACTTGCATTTAATTTTTACCATAAATACAATTAACATTGAAAGAAACCTTAAAACCCTTAACTCACACGAAAGAGTGGAATTCCTTTCATGAATTGTTTTTACATTTGATGCGGCGAGCTTTGAAAAGTCCTCTTTGATTTTTTTTTCATAAAAGCTTGAAATTCCTTGTCTGCAAACTGACAAGGCAAATAGTCTGAAATTAATCTAAACTACACCAAGAAGTGACAATCGAAGGAAAACTAGCTGGCAAGAATATCAACGGAAAACTAGCTGGCAAGAATATCAACGGAAAACTAGCTGAACCCATCACCTCTCAGAACCAAAAGCACTTCGTCGATTTATCTTCCAGCACATCAACATCATCATTCATTACCCCACGCAGTGTTAGGGGACGCTAGGGGAGGTAACGGGGTAAGGGACAACACCAAGACACTAGCTTAGACTCACCTAAAGGCCACTAATTGGTGCAGGAAAAGTTTGGACAGCAAGCTATAATGATTGTTTAAGTAACCTAGACAACTAGGGATGTAAACGTGACAAGGACAGCACTTAAACAATGAAATAGACTTGCCTAAAGTGATGTAAATGGCGCATGAATTTAATGGACAGCAAGGAAAAAAACAGTGAACTAAATTAACTAGGCAATGGTATGCATGCAAACGAGTTTTGGAAAGGATAACTAGACTCCTAGGAACTTCTAGCACATGCTTACCATGCTCTGATATCAAATATGATGTGAAACAGTGATGATGAAATAAGAATTGCTTATATGAAATTAATAAAATGAGAACGTTGCTTGGCTAAACATTAACGGATGCGTTTTCAAGATAGATCTTTGAAAATTCCAAGGGAAGGACTAAGTAACGACAAGAGATTACAATTGAGATTACTAGGAGACTTGCAAAATTATATCAACAAATAAATGAGTAGAGCAAATGGCACATAACAACCACAGTTTAAAATTTAGATCATTCACCTTGGGATCCCCTCACTCACACTCTTGGTAGTGATTGGCTTAGCAGAAGAATGTTGCAAGCAAGCTTAGGGATGCCACTAGAAGGCACATGATGTCGAGGGGGCTAGTCGCCGGGGAAGGAGTCGGAGTTGGAGGAATGGGTGGCCGTCCGGTGATCTTCCAATCTTCATCGGGCCTCTGTTCGTCAATGACATCTGCTAAGTGGGGGAGGATACGTTCCACGTACTCCTTGACGGTGTTTTCGGATCCAAATCCGGGATCAAAGAACGGGGATTGGATGACGTCGATCTCCCCTTGAGAATTGAGAATAAGCCCGTGATCAACTTCCGGATCGGCCATACATGATCGGGGAAGGGCTTGGTGTGTCGTGGTTTGGAGAACTTGGCCGGTGGTGAGAGGTTGTGGAGGAGGGGAAGATGGGGGTTCGGGTGAGTTGGGGAAGAGAAGAAAAGGAGGAAGAGAAGAAAAGGGAGGGGGAATTCTTAAAATCTGAAATTAATTCAGATTTTTAACAATGAGAGGGGGGGGGGGGATTAATTTTGAAATTCAAAATTAAGCCAATAAAAGAGGGGCCGGCAGTTAGGAGAATATTAGGGAGGATTAAGTGGAGGCAATTAATGAAATAGGAGAGGAAGGGGAAGAGGATAGGTGGCCGGCCATGTAGAGAGAGAGGGGGAGAGGGATTTTGGTTTAAGTAAGTGGGCCCCAATAAATAATTAAAGATTTAAACAAAATTTGAATTGAATTTCAGATTTTATTTAAGAGGGGAAGTTTCTAAATTTAAGTTTTAGCATTAGGAAAGCATTTGAATTTTAACATAGTTTGGACATGTGTACCGTCGTCGGAGTCGTAGATCGTCGGCTACGATCCAGAGTCTTTACTTTTGATATATTTTGTATTTTATTTGTTTTTGCATTTTCTATTTTCCTAGTTTATCCCTATGGGTAGTGAGTCGTTATTGTAGCCCCGAGGGCACTTGTGTCTTTTTGTTTTTCTTTTATTGAGGCCTATATATTAAGGTCCCTTAGCTTTGTATTGGTAAATGATGATTTTGATGAATGAAGTTTTGCTTTGTTTCTTAGTGATCTCTTTGTGAGTTCATGAGCGGAGGAGGCTAGGAGTGGCCAAGGAAATAGCCAACAGTTCACCTACAAGTGAGCTCTTGGTTTCTCTGTTTTCTATTTTCTCTGACTGATGTCCTCGTCAGATTCGACTACTATGGTTAGACAAACATAGTTTGATAACTATAGTCAGTTGACTACAATTCGACAATGGTGTTTGGACAATGATGGTTCGCTAATAATGGTCGTAGTGACATTCCGATGATCTTGCTCGAGCCGTGAAGGATTGATGCTGATGGCCAGGTTGTAATCTAACGGTGTTGGTTAGATGGTGGTCTCAAAATGTGCTGAAGCATTGCTATTTCCGGAATTTGCTTATCAAATAAAGATATGCACATTTTTTGCTGTAGCACAAGTTTGAATCAAATAAAAAAAGTACCTCATTTCCTGAGAGCTGGGACTAAGAAACTCTCTTCACTTCATTTTGATCATCCTCAAGATTTTCAATGTCTAGATTCATCTTCCTTGTACTTCTCACACTCATAAAGACTTTGACTTGGTTCTTCCTGCATAAAAGTTATACATAATAACAGGTTTCTGAAAAGTACTTACTATATCTGTATAAAATTGATATGTTCTATTTCTTCCAATGCAAAATCACTTCATTAATTTTATCTGGTCAAGTGTTCTCCAAAAATCAGAAACATTCCATGAAAGAAATTCAAAGTCAATTCTACTAATGGTTATTTATATGAGTATATAACTGACATCTTCTATTCTCTTCAAATCCAAAATCTAAGTATCATAAACCCATAAAATAAATTCTAATTCAATTTAAAGTACCCTGGGGTATAAAAAATCATAGATCTTGTTGCACATCATGGATTCATCTTCCAGCACATCAACATCCTCATTCATTACGCCAGTGTTATCTTACCTTCAAAAAGCATAGAACTGCAAATTTAACCATGTTTTGCATACTAGCTAACAAATTTGTAGAGAAAGAATGTTTTGCATACTAATTTTGCACAAAAATCTAACACACAAATAGATAAATAAAAATAAAAAATACAGGTGTCATTTAAGTTCTCATGTGGAAAATCTGAAAAGGGGAATTACAATGGGGCTTAACCCATCTAAAATGATTCCACTATGTGAGTTTCGATTACATATATTTGTTTGTCCCTTAACTTGAAGACAACGTGATTACAAGAGTATGGAGAACTTGTAGAAGATATGATAGAGTTGGTATGAGGCTAAATGTGTTCAGATGATTGTGGTTGAAGTTTTGAATGATAATGATCAGAGATTGATGGTTAGGTAGCGGCAGTGCAACGACGATGGTTGAGTGGCGAGGTTATTATAACGACATTCGGACGATGGCCATTCAACAATGGTCTGATGATGATGGTCAGATGATGAAGAACCAACAACACATGTCATATGACAAGAACCATCGGGCAATGAAGGTCTGACAATGTCAAATTGGCCACACAAGTTTGATGGTGGCGACCAGACGGTGGCTTGATGGCGGCGATCAGACAGTGGGTTGATGGCGATGGTGCTCGAGTAGAGCTCTAGGATTCTTCAAACTTTTAAACTCTCTTGAATCATTAAGTAAGGATCCCCTTCATGTAAAGGGAGATTTATTTATAAATTTTTTAATAATGATTGACCCATAAATATAGAGAAAATCTGGAACACTACATTAGGTTTGAAATAATTCCTTAATCATAGAGTGCTCATTTGACAATTAAGCGTCTTGATGCTATCAAAATTAATCATTGAATTCATCTTTTCAAGACTAGATTTGATTATAAGCATTATAAATTTAGAAATCATTTGATCTTTCAATTAATATTTAAAAAATTTCAACTATGCTTCAAGCTCTTCTTGATTTGGGCTTATTTGAACTTAGATTGCACCAATTTTAGAGTTGTTGGGTTCATCTCATCGAGCCAATAAGGTTGACTATAATATTTTGAAATTGAAGTTTGAATGGTACTGAATTAATGTTTAAAAGTTTTCCATTGAAATGTGCATTGAGATTCGTGCTTGACCAAGCTGATTTTGATGAAGTATCAAAGGTGATCCCTAACTTCCCTTCCCATGCTTTAAGTTTTTCATAGATTTCCTCCACCTCCTCATAAAAGAAAAGACTGCTCACCTGTAGCAAACGGGCAAACTGCAAAATTAAGTGAAGGAAACTGTTGTCCCTCTTCTAGATGAAGCTTATAGGGCGAAACCCAACCCTTTACAGAGTTCACACATTTCATTAAGCTCCTTTTGGCATTCTAAAATGAAGAATTCCATACCCTCGCCATTTAAGCTCCCAACCCGCATTACCTCTGTAGCAGATTTTGCATATGATTCTATTTTCTTAGATGCTTCCCTGGGGAAACTACTACCCTGAACCATCCCTTCGTGAATCGGCTCAGCTCTTCCCGACTTCTCCACCATAACAGCGTTTTTTCCTTGCGTCTGCGATCCAAAACAGGGCACGAAGCCACCAAAATCGACGCTTTCTAGGGTTTCTATATCAATGAAAGAGACGCTCATTTAAAAAGGCCCTTAAGCTAACATCGAATCAAATCCATGATAAAAAGATACAGTTTCAGACTCCATTTCAATTGGATTGAAACGATTCAAGCAACCATTAGTCCAATAAAAAAATTCAGAAAAAATAGGGATTAACTCACTATAGAATCCATGATCCGAGAGTGATTCAGATGTCACCAAAGAAAATGTTTGATTGCTGTCAATTTGGGAACGTTCCATTCTCACCCTACAGGCAAATTATTGGGTCAGGTGATCGAACGCAAAGATAGGTTCGGATATTAATAAAATATTATTTTAAATTTAGCGTAAGTAAAGCGCAGGTAAAGCGCAAGTAAAGCGCAGGTAAAACGCAACTAAAGCGCAACTAAAGCGCAAGTCAAAAAGAGCAAGTAAAGCGCAAGTAAAGCTCAACTAAAGCGCAAGTCAAAAACACAATCAAAAGCGCAAAGTGACGCGGCAAATTTTTATTAGATGTCCGAACTTATTTTTCGCCTCCGGTCACCTGACCCAATAATTTGCCCGCCAGATCATCCGCCGAAGAAAGAAGAAAAAAAGAAAAAAAAAGCGTGGCAGAGATTTTTACTAGCGGAGCCTCAAATTCAAATATATATATATTTTTATTTTTTTAAACTTTAATTGAGCTTGTGATCTACATTGAAAATTTTAAAAAATATATTTAATTTATTAGTTTAAATTATATCTATTAATATATTAATTTATATTAAATTTATTGTTTTCATTAAAAAAACACATTTAATGAAGAAAAAGGATTCAATGATAATTTAATTTTCTTATTAGATTTAAATGAGAATTTGACTCTTAACAGGACACAATGG